GTGGAGTTGAGAGAGTAAGCAAGGATCAAAGTTGTCACCCTGCTTCAAATGTGATTGGTTGGAACAGCTGTAAACACTTATGCCTTCAGACATGGTTTCAACCATAATCTATTGGCTTACTCTACCACACACTTTTCCCACCACAGCTGCACCTTGAGATTCTGTCCAAACCAAACTCTCCATCGTAATTATGCATCACAGTTTACTGACTGACTTCTTGTTGAAATAATCTTGTTAAACCATCATCTTATTTATAACCTGTCTGACTGTCACAGATCACGTTTCTTGTCCCAATTTGTAGTAGCGTTTGCTCCATGCTCCCAGATCTCAGCAGTTTGGTGAGGACATATTTATCATAACAGACAGAAATGCTACCAAATGCCAGCTGAATTAAACCAAAATAAAATATAAACAATTTAATTCCTCCTGGTTTAAACAGATGTTAAAAGACATGATTTATTTCACAAAATGAAAATACAAATGTTCTTTTCAGCAGCATAAACAGAGCACTGTACATGATCAGTGTTATAAGCTTAGAAATATTTCCTCTGGTTAAGATGCTTTCATTTCAGTATGGTCTTCATCTCAGGGAGGTGTAACTGGTTGCTTTAGAGAAATTTAACACTGCTGTTGAGAAACATTCACATGTACTGGATCCATTCCACTATAGAGCCTTGTAGAATGTGTTGGTACATAACAGACTGATCCATAACTGTCATGGTTTCACGAAAAGAATATTGATATTGTGGAGTGTTTTTAAAGGGTAATTCAGCTTAATATACACTACTGGTCAAAAGATTTAGAACACCTCCATTTTTCCAGTTTGTATTGAAATTGAAATTGTTCAAGTCCAGTGAATAACTTTAAATGGTTCACTTACATCATTTTTTTGCAGCAACAGAAGTAAATGAAGTCTTGAAAGTTGATGCAAACAATTCCTACATGTGTCCCAACTTTTGTTGTTGACGTACAAACCCTGTGTCTGTGCAAAGGCAGTGTTAGAACAAACTGTTACTACACCCTCTGATGTAATATTAGGAAGGTACAGCAGGAAGTAGTACTTTTTATTGTAGTCAGGATGGTGAGAAAAAGGCACAAAGGTCGGTCAGGTGTTCATCCTACAGCACAGCGCCTCTCAAACTTCTTCACATCAAAGACCCTAAACTGACACAAATTAGACCACGGACCCCCGTCTGGTAAGATCTTTGCTTTCAGATGTTTTATCACAGAAAGTGTTTAGAACCCATGACCAAAATAGTCATATATTCTGTCATTGATGTTAATTGTAGTGAAGATAAATTATTCCCCTTTTTGCTGGGAACCTGTTGGGGTCCCCGGACCACACTTTGAGAACCACTGCCACAGCAAGATAATGAGCCAAAACTTTAGAGGAACAGAACCAGAGAGAGGCTTCACATGATGGAGGAGCAGCACAGACTCCAGAATTAAACCCCATGGAGCTGGTTTAGGACGAACTGGACAGAAGGTGAAAGTGCAACACATACATGGAACTTCTGCAACAGTGTTGGGATGAACTTTCCAAACTTTTCCATTGTAGAAAGAAGCCACGCGGGAGTTCTGCTGCTGGATGAAACAAAATATTAGATTTTATTTAGTTAAAAAATTCCTTGATTCCTTGTTTTTCAAATCTCCAGTTGTTTATTTGTTCTATGTCTTAATTTCAGAAACACTGAGATATTGAATCGTGTGAATTTAAATAACATGCCGGAAACATGGAGGCGCTCTAAAACCAGTTGTGTATATAGATCTATATAGATATCTTATTCAAAGCTTATGTAGCATTCTTCTTTCTTATGTGTCACATTAAGAAATTAAAGATGTCAGTGTTGTATAAATGAGAACTTGAGGAAAATTATAAATTCATAATATATTACTGTTGTGGATCAGATAAATTTGTAATTGCTATCTGTTTACAGTATAAGTGAGTTCTTTTACTGTCATTTTCAGTGCTGTGTCAATTACAGAACTGTGTTTATTCCAAATGTAGCTTTGACTCACGTCGTTGAAGCGTTTTCTTTTTGCAGAGACCTCTACGTTTATTGACAAATGAAATCACGTGAACATAGAGCTGGAGATTTGTACTGTAGAGACAGAGAAAAAAAAAACCATCAATAGACATCACGGACTGAAAACAAACTGCTGCTGGCTGATGTCAGAGCCGCCAGCTGATGTGAGAGACACCACCACCGACAACATTAACAATAATTTATAGAAATGTGTTTTTTGATATTGCAATTAAGACATGCACGTATGATTTGTTATTGCAAGTCAAAAGAAAGAAGAAAAAAAAAAACAAAAAAAAAAAAAAACTCCACTGAATTGCTTTGCTCAGCCTGAGTGAAAACATGTCTGTCCAGACGCTTTGCTTTGGATCAGTCGTTTCTCCGTCATCACAGGATGTCCACCTCTCATACACCCTCTAGTCCCTTTGTGCTCTGGGTTATGTGCTCTATTGTGTCTGAGAAAAGAATTAAAGACACTTGCAACTACACAAAGTCTGCTTTGTATTGTGGTGCTTTTATTATGTTGCTTCATCATCTTGTTGTTTACTATAATTATACTGTTAGTGTACGATGGCAAAGGCAGAAAGCGATTTAAAATCACGACACATACCACCATGAAGGCAGCACAATGCTTTTAATCTGTTCTTTTAATATGTTTTGAAATTTTTAATCTGTAGTGTCTTAGTTATTTAGTCCATGAGGGCAATTGCTTAACCCTCATTGACTTGAAAATACTACAAGTATGAAACATAATTTCATACAGTTTAACGTCAAATTATAAACAAATAACTTTGTGTCTTCTCCCATCCTCTAGTCTTTTCTCTTCAGGGAGTCAAGCAAACCTGTTTCTGTTTCTGCAGCTAATGGTATCTGATCCACAAACAATCATTCTGATTGATTGGCATTATTTTTGGAAAACACCTAAGGAACTGGGGAAGAAGAAATGTAGTTTACACTACACTACATCCCTATTGTAGCTCTGATTTTCCACTCGCTGACAGTTTTTGGAGATCGCTGACAAAAGCCCCATAAGAGGCAAATCTACGGTGGCCCTGACAGCTCAGCGCACTGCAACTTAAGAAAACACACACAAATAGACAAACACAGAACATCTTCATCAATTTGACGACACACACACTGCAATTCACACAACACAGCAGAAGTGTCTGCGTGTGTTTTCTTATATTGCGGTGCGTTGAGCTCTCAGGGCCACCGTACAAATCTGTGAACCGCTCAAAGTCCAAATCTGGGAAATTGACCTGGTTGCGACTGGCAATTAGTGCAGCTACAGCCAATGAGAGCACAAGACGTGAGGTGAGTGGAAACCCAATCCCTGTTGCCGCTCATTCCTCGAACCAGTTTGGATTCCTCCTGGTGAAAGATCTTGTAGTTTGTGACTTCCTGTGGCCGATCAGGCATGTAGTGTGGAAACCACAACCGTTCCAAGATTCCTGATTACAAAGACAGTGAGTTGTGTAGTGAGAACAGTACTGCAACCTGACAACTTTGGAAGTCAAATAGTGTGTATATGGCAATGAAACAGCCTAATAGACCCTTTTCACAGGCAGAGCTAATTACATTAACAACGCTCTGGTCCAGCAATTGCTCCAGTGCAGCAATTAGCAGCTGGCGTTATCAGTCTCTATCATGCCTGTTTGACGAGCCTGAATTTCTCACAGGTGTTGAGGAAATAGCGACACCTTAAAAACAGATAAAGGTGATGATAAAAGCCAAAGTTACCTAAACACAGATGTATGGTTTGTTGTTTGTTTGACTGACTGTATGATTGACCTGTGATGTTCAGATAAAACAGCAGATGTGTCTCACACCGTGAATCCTGCATGTTTCTGCTTCAGTGAAATGTTCCAGCAGTGCCGGGCTTCATGTGTCCTGACCCATGATTGTTCCAATTAAGCTATTCAGACAACAGCAGCCCATCAGGAAGCTGGAGTCATTAAATTCACTCTTAAAAATTTGAATAGAATGTGAATGGGAAAGGGTCCCAAACTGGTTTCTGCGTGAGGAGGAGTGTAGGGAAAGAAGCCAGAATATTACTGATCTGTCTGGACTGACTCTAAGGTGTCAATTTCCTTAACACACTGTAGGCTGAATTCATCTATTTGCCTATAACACTTGAGGCATCAGTCATGTGGAAATATCATAACACTGTGTTAGTCATGGACGGTGTATTTCTTTACTAATTTCCTGTTTAGCTCTTTATAATAAAAGTCAGGGTAACTGAAGGTCAAGCTTTGTTGTTTAGATCCACTTCAGTCATGTTTCACATTATAGCCTCATGGGGCCGGTTTCACAGAGATAGATTCTGACAATGGTCAGACTGCAGACAGACGTCTAAATTCATCCTTTGCACAAAGCAGTTTAGTTCTTGATTATCTTAAACTGGACTGTGGTTCAATCAATTCTGGGTAAATTAAAACTTTTTTCAAAATAAAAAAAAAAAAAAAAATGGCCAACCTGCGGAACCGCATCCAAACACTCAGCTCCATTTACCCCAGCAGAACATTTTTGTCTTTTGGAAGAATTCAACAGTTACAAGGACATTTAGTTGGGAAATTCAGCGAAGAGTGAAATAATAAAAAGAAAAATCTGGATAAAAAATAATTTGGGTAAAAATGGCTGCGGTCTCTAAAAAACTTTTCCCTCCTCATTTCTCTCTCTATAACAATGTTAGCAAACCACAAATTATTAGCCACATTTTCCTGTTTTTTTTGTTGTTGTTGAGTGATACTCAGCACAGGTGTCACTGATTACCATTACCATTAGTCTGGAGGTAAGGTGTCTAATGTTTTTGGCTTAAAATGAGTCAGTCTTTATTTTTGTGAATTGGTCTGACTGATCTATGAGCAAAATTAGGACTGGCCTAACACCACAGACCAGTCTGAAATATCTCTGTGAAACCGGCCCCCGACTGCTAAAATGAAACCTGATGTGTAGGTCTCTTTTTGATCTGGACAGGTGTGATCATAATATCTCTAATGTTTTACCTGAGCGTGATAAGAGCAATGAAGAGGAATCAGAGCCCCCTGGCCGGAAAAAATCTGAGCCTGGGAAATTTGTGGGGGTTGATGGGATTCTGTCCCTGCCTTTGAATGAAGAGGAGGAGGGTTGGTTTGAGGACTGGGGCTAAGGCGAGTATGTGATCGTTTTCCTTTTCCCCCAGCTCTAATTCCCCCACGTGTGTGAGCACTCCCAGTCAGTGTGAGCCGTGAGAGAGAAAAAAAAATGTAGGAAAAAGAAGTGAGAAAAGGTTGCAGAGATCTGGGACAATATCCAACCAATCCAGTGAGAGTCTTCTATGTCTTCCTAGAATGCACAGAAACGTGTGTTATTGCCCTTTTCCATGACCGATGGAATTAGGAAGTGATTTAAGAAGCTTTGCTAAAGCAGAGTGTGCCAGTGGCAGAGCTTACAGTCCAAGGGGAAATGTGCAGACGCTTTATATTCCTTGCAGATACTATCTTCAGTATATGCTATATGCTATGTATGTGTAGTGTGCTGAGACATTATTCAGGTTATCTTAGGTTGGGATTGGTATGGGCGATTTAGAATGCTTGAATGAAAACATTTTTTATTCAGGAACAAAGGAAATAAAGTGAAATACAACAAATTTCGTTGGATGTATTTTCTTTTTATGTATGTATTTACTGTGCCATGACTAAATGAAAAGGATGATTGTTCTATGAATAATTATCATTAAACTTTTGACTTTAATAACCGAAAAAATGTTTTTCAGAGATTATTTTATGACATAAATTTTCCATGCCACCTCAAATCACACCAAATCACATCACAAAAAAGTAAAGTGAAGAGGTGTCTAGCCAGGGTTCCAAGTGACTTAATCGGTGAGATTCATGCAGAATTAGAAAACAAACCAGCATGACTGAGAAGCTTATAAAGAAATCAACATGGAGTTTTTTTTGTGCCTGAAACTGTATGAATCACAAAAGCAGTGGGTGGAAAATATTCATTATCTCAAGAAGAAAACCTCCCAGTTATCTCAGAGTGCAGAAATAGCTATTAGCTCCAGTGATCTGGTCAGAGCCACGGAGTTTAATAATGTGGAGGACAGCTTTATACTGCAAGAAGAAACATCTGTTTCAAAGTGGTAATCTCGATGATTTTTATATAAATAAATAGGTAATTGAGCCTATGGCCCACTGATGAAAATATTGCTATATATATATATATTTACAGTGTAAGGAAATGTGTTTCTGTAGACATTAACAGAAAAAATGCTGTATTTAGTTGCTGCTGTTGCAAAACATTTCCTACGGCTGCAGCTTCACATTAAAAGCACCTAACGGGTAAAACACCTGCTGACTTTTATTATGAAGTAGGCACAGGAAAAGCTGTGTTTGTCAGTGAGCCGGGAACTTATTGCAATGATTCATGAAAATGTGAGATAGCTCTCACTTTCTGTGTCTAAGAGTGACGAGTGAATGTTTGTCAGATCTGGTGTGTAGTTTACAGTATTCTGTGGAAGAAGTCAGATTTTCTCACATGCAAACGTTACAAATATAACAACCAGATGAGAGTGTCAGCAGTCAAAGAGCAAGAATCCCGTGCTAATGTTGCTTTTTTTATGCTAACATTGCATGTGTGAGGGGATTTCTGTGCTTTTCGTAAAAAGTGTAAAAAAAGAAGCACATCTACACTTACTCCCTCACTGAGAAATCTGGATCAGGCTTTATGCCCCGCCCACCTCCAGGTTGACAGGTGGAAGAGCAGAGAGTATCAAGATGGTTAGAGCAGGAAACATCAGACAGACTGAGTCAGACCCAGACTCAGATGAGGAATCTGTTGAGACCAGAATCAGAGACTAGCAGACGGATCAGAACAGTTAGCGTAGTTAGCATCTTTTATTTGTTCATGTTGTTAGTTAGCTTGTAACTGGCAGTGGCTGACACAGTGTTAGTGGTTGTGCTAATGCAAACTCTCTCTCTCTTTACTGACAAGATTTCAGGTTTATTTAGCCCCGCCCCCCGTCCCCACAAGTTGACAGGATTGGTTCCTGAGGTTTGTGATGTATGAAACCCTGTCTGAATCTGTTTTTCATTGTCATTGCTTCACTGCAGTTCAAGGTGGAAAAACACTCAGTTATGGTGTTGACTGATTATTTCACTCATTATACATATCTTATATAAAAAACATCATATGGATGTTAACAAGGTTAAAAACTTAATCTTTAACCTGTGCTATGGTCTGTAACACTGATCTCTGCAAACATACCGTACATTAGTAGCTAATGCTCAATTCAGCCTAAAACATTTTCAGCAGCCTCACTAAATTCCACATTGACACAGTTGTGTCATGATTATGAGTCTATTATAGCTCTAAGTCCTGATTGGCAGATTCTTAACTCTGGTCCTAATTCAGCCGTCTCTGGATAAAGAATATTCAGCGCTTATTGCAGCAAACCACTAATGCCTGGAGAAGATGAAATTCTCTCTCTGCATACAAAGTGGATGAAAGTTATCAGAGAAAGTAATGAACATGAATCAATTTTTAATGGCACATTAATAAAATATTTTTTGCCTCACAATTTCCTGAGGCTGAAACACAGCCTCCTTAAACTTCCCCGAGGCCGACTGCAAGCTCTGCTCTCATTACCGGAGCAAATTTTACATACAGTGTGATATTCATGGAGGGAAAGTGGGAGCAAGCCGCACGGCTCCTGCCACCACGCCCACTGTACAAGTATGTAGACCCATATTTACATCCGCTCAGGCACACTTATAAGGAAACATAAATGCTTTGCTACAAAGAAAATAAATCTTAGTCAGGAAAAGTAAATCACTTCCTTCACTTATCCAGGATGACGCACATGAGAAAAAGTGTATATTACAGAAATATCATCTGAGTCATGTTAAATTATGAGGCACCGTTACTTGCATCTTTACCAGTTATAGCAACTGGCTTTTCCTTTTAAGAATGCTTTCTTTTTATATGTGAGCCTCAAAAGGCCTGAAATAGTGTCTCTGTGTTTTTCTTTGCCTTTAAAGGAGCATTACACTGATTTTACACTTCTGTTCAGTTTGATATGAAGTTCCATTGAGTTGGAGGATGTCATAGTCAGCTGCTTTCAGTATGAATATCATCAACCAGAATTCTGTTATAAGAACCAACTCTCATGGTGCATTAGAAATAGAATTTATTTTATGTTTATTGAACCGTTTTTGGAAAAAGGATTATTTATGAATGATCTTTGGAACAGTGTGGTTGAAATCATGTCTTCTGATGATAATGTTAATATGTATAAAGGTCATATGATCAGCTCTGTGCAGCCACAATGTAGACATGGAAAATAAAACTAGTATTTACAGAATAAATGATATGCCCCGACATTTGGGGCACAGCAAGTGCCCCTAAAGTATCTGCTGCACTGGTAGCTACTCTTTGTTAGAGAGAAATGTGTTTTTACATCAACTACCTTTGATGTCTACATCAGCATTTTTACAGCTAAAACTAATAGTTTTTATTATAATTTAGCTTTAAACAGCTGATAATACAGAGATGAGATGTGGAGATGTGTACAAGTACAAGCGTTTGTACGTTCTACTTTATACTTCTTCTTTTTATTCCAATACAATTATTTGACATTTTGAGCCACTACTTACTTTAAAAATTTATATTTTTATATGCAAAAAATATGAAGAGCCTAAAATATGATGCTGTTTAGATTAAAGTACCCAACAGCATGAGTTAATCTGAAACAATAGTTGATTAAAGCATTTTGTTGATTGACAGAAAATGAATTGATGAATTCATTGTAACAGTAATTTTTCATGTAAAAACAACAAAATGGTCCCAGCTTTAAAATTCTGCTTTTCTTTTTTATCATTTAAAATGTTTAAATGTATTTCTAATTATTTGAAGTTTGGACTTTTGCTGTGACACAACAATGACTGAGATGGTGTCACTTTGTTCTCTGTGTAATTGAGGCGACATTTCTCACTATTTTCTGAATCTTTACAAATCAAATAATCAACAAATTAATTAAGAAGAGATTCATCCATAATGAAAAATTATTAGTTGCTGTCCTTTATAAAATATTATAAAATGAATTCCACCTCAACCTCCTTTGGCAATAAAATGCTGCTTACATATTAATATGTAAATAAAAATAATCTAATGATATAAAATATAGTCGCTGGGCTCATGTTTCTCCACTGAGTACATTTTCAGACCAGGACTTTGTTTTGCAATGTATTTTTACTTTATTTTTTTTATTTTTAAGTAAAAAAGTAAAAAGATCTGAATTCTTCCTCCACCACTATCGAACCACTATCCCACCAGGGTTCCCCCCATTCACTGTACATCTTTATAGGCTGAGTGTGTGGCCACTACCACAGCAGTGCTAAACCACTGTTCCCTTTCTCTGATTTACATCATGATAATGACAAACAGCATCATGAATTCTGCAGAGTTCATTTATTCTCATTTATTGTGAGGGTTCCTCTCTTAGATGATGGCAAATGTGCAGTAATGTGTATTAAACAAGAAATCACTCCATTGCCAATGAGTCACATGTTGCTGATAATCTATCCAGGGAGGAGAATAGATTAGCAGGCTGTCTTATCCACTTTGCTCTTGCATGGCTGGACTCCGAGATTAAGTCTGGAGGGAATTCAGGCTTGTCAAGGTATATCTGCCCACACATCATCCTCACTCCACCGGTGCCCTCACATGCCATGGAAGTAAAACTGGCTCAAAAGTTATTTCCTCCTTTAATGTGATGATTAAATTGATTTTTATTTTGAAGTCCCTTCTGTGCTTGTACTCAGTATCTATGAATTAGACAATTTTCTTCCAGAAGATTAAAGTGTTCAGTGTTTCCTTAGAGACAGCAGACCGGTGGAACATTAAAGCTCCCAATGAAAACATAGTTTGATAATCACATTAATGAAGACATTCTGATGAATGCTGTGGTAGGGTGAATTCACAATGGCTTCCCACAGACAACAGGTACAAGTAATTCTCAGTCGAGCAAACTCCAGCATGCACCATACTGAAAATGAACAAAACACTGATTGGCTGACATCCAACTTTTTAAAACAAAGACAAATATCAGCCTCATGTATCTACATTTCTAAATTGTGTATTTTCAATTAAACAGAGATTGGAAGA